CCCCAACCACTGCCCAGGGCTGAGTGCCCAGGAGTCCCTATTAGAGAGTAATGCCATGGTCTGCGAACTGAAGGCTGCCCCTCAAGTGCCTCATGGACTCCTTGAGGATTGGCCGCCTCTCCTTATTGAGATTGTGCCCAATAACTTCTACCCAGTGTCTCCTGTGTGCTGGACAAGAAACGAGGACAAGCCCAAAGAACCTGCCCACAGTGATGGGGTTAGGGGTGTACATAGGTGAACCTTTCTTGGACCCTAGAACCTGCACTTGCTGATTTGCTGGATGACACTGAGAAGGTCATTTTACTGCCCAGGGTCTGTCTTTACTGACCAGAAATGGAACCAAGCAGCCTGGAGAAGGATGGGGTACAGTAAGCAATGAAGATCGACTACCAAACCCACCTTTTTTATTTTTTTGAATGATCTTAGGCAAGTCACTACTCTTGGAGCCTCAGTTTTCCTCCCCATCATTCCAGTAATAATACAAGGTACCTCCCACCTGGGATGGTTGCTGGTAGCAGTGCAATCATCCCTGTAAAGAACTTAGAAAGGGCCTGGCAAGTGGGCTAAATGTTTGCTACTACTATTACTCCATAAAGAAGATACTAATATTTCAGATCACTTATGAGCATTATTCATTTAATTCATATTTATTTAGCAACTGGTAAATGTCAGGCATACCAGGGTGAACCACCCCATTGCCATCTCTGGTCTCATGAGGTTCAGTCTAATGGGAAACACATGTGGACACATTACTATATAACTAGTAGCTCTACCCCTAACTAGCTGGGGGCCTTTGGGCATGGTTCTTAACCTGTCTGATCTTGACCTTCTGCTCCACAAAACAGAAGCAATAATTATATTATCTACTTACAGATTGTTGTAAGGAATAATTTTGAGATAATAAGATTGCAAAGTAAGTGTTCTCAGCAGCAATTACAGTTTAGGAGGTATCCATGTCCCTTGTGATTTCCAGAGAAAAGGCTGAGCCTGGAGGAAGAGCCAAATGAAGGCCAGGACAGTTGGGTTCTGGCCACAAAGGTGGACGGGTCACAATTGGGCCTTGAACTGTGAGTAGGATTTGAGTAGGGAAGAGAGGAGTGTGGAGAGCATTCTGGAAGGGGATTGCAAAAGCAAAGGCTTGGCAGCAGGACCCCTCCAAGGTGCTTCAGGAGCAGGATGCTGCTAGAGGACTACTGTGGAGGGCTATGGCACTCCCTGGCTGGGGCCAGGCTGAAGGAGTTGGATTTTATTCTCAAGGTCATGGGGAGCCACAGAGACTTTGAGCAGAAGGGTGACACAGTTAAAAAACCAACAATCAATAATTAAAGGTCAACACTATGACAGTGTTCAAGAATATATTAGCTTGCATCAGCTGGAGTAGTAAATGGTTCTGTAATTTTTTTATGACTGTTTTTAAAAATTAACTTTGAATTACACAAATTATGTAACCAGTAGGTTTCACTGTGAGAAATGGAAACATGATAGATAAAATTGGAGTCCCTTTAAACACCACTGTAACTCTCCCCAAAGGTAATAGCAGTTGTTAGGTTATATATTTCCTTCTAGCCCTGTCAGTAAATTTACATACATGTGTGTTCTTAGGAAGCCCACAGTACTTACCATGGTGTGGGTCCATCTCCCTGGAATGCTTCCCAATGCAGCAAGATTCACAGTGGGAACTTTGGGGGGATTGGATCAATGGGGTGTTAGGAGAGTGGTTTTGTTATGAAAGGAGCTCTCTCTAACATGCTGCTCACTCCATCTCACCTTGAGATGTCCTTGGCCATGTTATGATGTTGCATGTGCTTTGCTCTTGGACTTTTAGCCTCCAGAACTGCAAATAAGTAAAGTCCCTTTATAAATTACCCAGTCATCTGGGTGTGGTGGTGCACATGTGTAATCCCAGCAATTTGGGAAGCTGAGGCAAGAGAATCACAGGTTAAAGGTCAGCCTGGGCAACATAGGACATTTGAGACTATCTCAAAATAATATAAAAAAAAGACACTGGGAATGTAGCTGTGGTAGAGGGCCCCTGGGCTCAAGCCCCAGTACAAAAAAAAAAAAAATTTACTCAGTCCATGGTATTCTGTATGGTAACAGAATAATGGATTACGTACTCATGAGATTACATTCTGCACATGGTACATTGTATATATCAATTTGAAACTTGTCTGACTGTTTTTTTGAGGGGTTTTGTTTGTTTGTTTCATTAGACAGCATTTCTTTGATCATTCCATGTCAGGGCATATTTAGCTGACTCTTTCTTTAAAAACAATGAATCAAATTTGTATTGCTTATGAATGCAGATTTAAACTATTGATTATGTACAAAACAAATCCCTGGCCATAATTGATTTAAATGTTCATCCATTTAAAAAATGTCAACTTGGGAGAAATGGTAAAAGGGCAGGACATACAGGTAAACCTTCAGTGATGAAATTATATCACTTTCTACTTCACAGAACTTAAAGTATATTGGGGGAAAATATGCCTAAATTTCTGCTCTGTTTTTTCTTTTTTTTTAATTTATTTTTAATATTTATTTTTTAGTTCTCGGTGGACACAACATCTTTGTTGGTATGTGGTGCTGAGGATCGAACCCGGGCCGCATGCATGCCAGGCGAGCGCGCTACCGCTTTAGCCACATCCCCAGCCCTCTGCTCTGTTTTAATGAAGTAATAGTTGATGCTAAATAACACTGGTGGTTGGGATGTAACTAAGTGCTAGAGAATGCACTTAGCATGCTCGAAGCTCTGGATTCAATCTCCAGTGCAAAAAGGGGAGAAAAAAAATGGACCAGGCATGTCATTTGTTGTTTATCCTAGCCGATATGAATGAAAAGGAGAACTTTTAAATTTGTCCATAACTTGAAAAAAAAGATGAACTCAATTTCAAACAGGGTTGGTTTTATTTTGTTTGCTTGTTGCAGGGAGCAGGGTAGGGGAGAAGCAGCCAGTTAGGCAGCATTTTATGACTGCTATAGTGTGGATGTGGCTTGAGTGCCCCCGCAAGGGTTCCTGAGTGGGAAGTTTGGTTCTCCCTGTGGCAATGTTAAAAGGTCATGGGACCTTTAAGAGGTGGGGCCTAAAGGGAGGTGGCTAGGTTATTGGGGGGCATTTCTTTAGAAGGAATTAATGCAGCTCTCATAGAGCCCTGGTTAGTTCCTACCAGGATGAGTTGTTATAAATAGAGCAAGATTGGCTACTCCTCAAGCCTCTTGCTTCCTGTCTCACCATGTGATTTCTTCCACACATGCTCCCGCCATTGTGATATCATCGCCATGAAACCCTTACCAGAGCCAAGAAGAAGCTGGTGCCATGCTCTTGGACCGTTAACACTGTGAGCCAAAAATAATAATGGAAAACAGACTAACACAATGATGTAAAAAGATTTAAACCAAGATTTAAAAATTGCCAGTGATGTGGGAGGCTGATGCAGGAGCATTGCAAGTTCAAGGCCAGCCTGAGCAACATAATGAGACCCTGTCTCAAAGTTTAAAAAAGGTGGGGGGCTAGTGGTATAGCTCAGTGGTAGAGTGATTGCCTACCATGTTCAAGACCCTGATTTCATTCACTATTAACACACACACACACACACACACACACACACACACACACACACACATACCATTTACTGATGGAAGTGGAGACTTAGAAAACAGACAATCCTAGACTTTTTAGGTTAAAATAATGGCAAATGTAGTATAAGTACATATTTATTGATCCAAGACCACATAAAATTCTCGATATATTGTCTAATGAGGAAGTTACATACATGTACTTGACAGCTATAAATAAAATCCATCCAGTTTCATAGACATAGCTTTAAATTTTTTAAAATCAACACTTAACTGTATATATTTATGGGTTACAGTGTGGTATTTCAATACACAGTACAATGTGTAACGATACATCAGGGCAATTGGTGTATCCATCACCTAAAACATCATTTCTTTGTGTTGGGAACATTGAAAATCCTCTCTCAGCTATTTGAAAACATAAAGTTAATTGTCATCAACCACAGATCCCTACTGTGCTATAGACCATTAGAAGTTATTTCTCTTATCCAGCTCCACCTTTTACATAGATATCTTAATCTGCATTCAGAAATTTCAGATCCATGTATTTTACTGATGTTTCTGACTCACACCTTTTAACTGCTATATGATATTCCACACAGCCCCTTATTGATGCCCTTTACTATATTTTTTGTTTTTTGACACATAGTGCTGTCTTGTGTGTGAACAGCTGAATGGGCAGTGGTGGAATGACTTTGTAATTTCCAGGAAGGTTCTGAATTTCCAGAATCATTTCTCTACCCCCTACCCTCCCACCCCCCTGCATCCTATAGAACCAGCATAAAGGTTTCCTGGGGAGGGATTTGGTGAGGAGTGAGACCCTGCCTCCAACACAAGGCCATGCGCATGGTCCGTACTACCCTCTCATCTCTGGACTATCCTGGCCCACTTACCTTGGTTTGGGGTAGCCCTAAGGCCCAGGCCCTAGGCTGTGGGGTGTCTGAGTGAAGTTCTGGAAGGTGGCAACCTGGTTTGCTGTGGCCTCTGGTAGGCCCCTCCACCAGCTCTTGAAGCATAGGGAACACTGTCA